TTTATATAAAATAGAAAATGCAAACCAATCTAAAGTCACAACAAACAGATTGGTGGTCACCAGGAAAGTGGGAATGACATAGAGGGCGGAAGGGAAGGATTGAAAAGGGGCACAGGAAGCTTCTGGGGGTGATGAATATGTTCACTGTCTTAATTGTGGTGATGATCTCTTGGGTATATATACATTAATATGTCAAAATTTACCAAATTGTATACTTTACATATGTACAGTTTATTGAATGTCAACTCTACTTCAATAAAGCTGTAAAAATATTTAATTTAAAAAATTAATAAATGTACTCGATGCAAAGTATCTCTTCCAGATTCTATCAAAGGACCTCACCCCAAAAGGGAGGTAGGCAAAAGAGCATAGATCGGGGTTTAAAACGCTGCTCTGCCACAAAGTCATTGTGTGACCTTGGACTGGTCTCCTGACTTTTCCTGGGCTTCCTAAGTCTCTTCATCCATGAAATGGGGCTGCCAATATTCTGCCTCACAGGTTTGTTGCTAGAATTAGAATGATATGAAGGTGGGAGAGCGTCCCTAGCACATCCTAGGCACCAGTACACATCAGGCCCCATCTCTGAGGTGGTTAGTTCCCTTTCTGTTCCCTTCTTTTCTGTCCTTTCCTCTTTCCTTCCCAACAGGGATCCTTGTCACAGAGACATTCAGAGGAGAAACAATGAGGAGGAAACAGGGCAGAGGGTGTGTCTGGAATTGTGTTCCCTGAAAACAGTGCCTGAGACCTGGACTTGAGACTTCCTGGGGGTGGTCCCAGGGATCAGGAGGGAGGGAGCAAAAAAATGTGAGTCAGGGAAGGAGAAAATGCCAATAAAATGTTACGTGCTGAGCTAGCTACTGACATGGAGTTCAGACAAGCCAGAGAGACTCTGAAGAACTGTAGAACACACATCAGAAAGGACACGGGCACTGACCCATGTCCTCCATTGGCTAAGGGTTGCCCCCGGAGTGTTCTCTCTCCTCTCCTCTCCCCACACTCTGTCGGCTGAAGGAGAAAGGCAGAGACAAGGACCCTTGCATGGGGCACTGGGAGGGTCATAGCACAGCTGGCCACAGCTGCAGCTCAAAATTAGAGGCAGCCTGAGGACACACGGCCCAGGGCACCCCAAGTGGCTGCCTCAGGCCCAAAGCCTATCCTTGGGTCAACACTATGACCCTCTTAAGCTTGTTGAGGATCTCTGAAACAGGCAACGAACGTCAAGAGCCTTTCAGCATTGCGCGCTATTGTGCCACGACTAAGCATTTATTAGGCTCATGTTGTAGTAATAGATTCGATTAATGGTGAACAGAATAATACTTTATCGGATGGCAATAATTTCAGATTTCAACAAGTGATAGTGGCATTACCTCTCTACCTCAACACTCCCTCAAAACCAGCTCCAGCACATAACCTCCTGCAGATCCAGAGCATCTCTGAAAGCGTCAGAGTTGTCATAGTGACCGGCAAATTATGAGCCACCCCAGGGATTATTCTCGTGGAAAGTGAAGTTTCCCAGGACAGTGAGTCATTATTAAAGCAGAGAGAACCTCCACATGGTTCCCTCGTTAGATCAGCCAGTGTTTGACTGTAAAACATGGGTCTGACGATGTGGTTATCATCACTAGCCAGAGGCTGTCTTCAGTTTCACAGGCTATGTCATGAAACTGTCATGTTAAGTGTTTCTTTTTCCAGTATAATGCCATCTTTAAGGAATATTATTTCATGGGAGAGTTTGCTGAGAGGAGACTAACTTGGAATTTACCAGTCCAAAACTGAGCCGGAGGAAATTTGCTACAGGGGTATGTGTGTTGTATGGATATGTGTTTGTGTGCACTGGTTCACTTGCAGGAAATGCCGCATGATCTGACTGCAACCACATACATGAACTCCATAAGCCAGTATAAATTAAAGTTGACCTTAACAGCAGAAAAAAAAGAAAAAGCCTTTCAGCAGAGAAGCCAGAGACCCCAGATTGAAGCTCTCTCTCCTCCAGACCACAGGCAGGGACACACTGACTCCCTCAATGGCTCCTTCAGGACAGCTGGCTGGGAGAGAGGAGAGAATACCCGAGGGGTGAGTCATTAAAGGGACCCTTGGAGGAAAGGGTGGAGCTGGGAGTTTATCAGTAGGAAGAGCCAGCCACTTCACGGAGCAGTAGTTAAATCAGTTTTCTTTGCTCTACAAATAAATTGTGAACTAGAAATGTTGCTCAGACTGGAAATCCGATAATGCCTATTGTGATAATGCCTGTCACTTATTGAGCAAGTACTATGGATCTGGAAATGCGCTGTGCTCTTTCATGCCTGTTACATTTCATCCTCACAACAAGCCAATCCAGTAGGTACTATAATTAACCCAAACTCAGAGAGGTTGAGAAACTTGCTAAAGGTCCAACAGCTAGTAATTGACAGAGCAGAATTCAATTCCAGGAAACCCGATTAGAGCTTATACCATTGAACATTAGGCCACACTCAACTCCCTGAACAGAAAAAGCAGGACACCCAGCTGGGAAAGTAGTTGGAAGCTGTGCCCTGCTCCATGGGATGAGAGGGGCTGAAGGAGCAGGGAAATTCGATTTTTTTTTTACATTAACTAGACACAGTAAGAAAGAGAGAAGGGCTCCACACTGACAGAAGGTGCATTATGGTTGTTTGCACTGCTGAAGCAAACACTTACATTCTTATTTTTATCTGTTTTTTTTTTGTTTGTTTTTTTTTTTGAGACAGAGTCTCACTCTGTTGCCCTGGCTAGAGTGAGTGCCATGGCATCAGCCTGGCTCACAGCAACCTCAAACTCCTGGGCTCAAGCGATCCTACTGCCTCAGCCTCCCGAGTAGCTGGGACTACTGGCATGTGCCACCATGCCTGGCTAATTTTTTTTCTATATATTTTTAGTTGTTCAGATAATTTTTCTATTTGTTTAGTAGAGACGGGGTCTCGCTCTTGCTCAGGCTGGTTTCGAACTCCTGAGCTAAAACAATCTGCCCGCCTCGGCCTCCCAGAGTGCTAGGATTACAGGCGTGAGCCACCGCGCCCGGCCATCTGTATTTTTTAATTTTCATAAAATGAATTCATGAAATGAGTATAGTGATACCACAGTTCAGCTTTCTCTTTGCCCCCAGGACATTGTCCAGAGATATAGCACCTTTCTTCTCCCACCTGCCCCTACCCTAACCTATAAATCTACTCTTTGCTGCTCCTTCCTCATGTCTTGCAACTATAAGTAGGCCTGCTGACATTATATTCTCTTATAAATGATGCTTTTCATTTACAGCTGCTCAAAATCTTTTTAGAACTCTGGTGCTAATGTAGAATCAAAAGAAGTCACCCTTCCCAGCCTCTCTTTCTTTGAGGGTGCAGACAGGCAACTTAGATTCTGCTAATGGGACCCTGCAGGACACAGCTCCAAAATGCACTTGCAGTGAAACAGATGAGGCACAGGGATCCGTTTTGCTGGGACAGGTGAGCACAGGGGAGATAAGTGAGCTAGAGGCAGTGTGGTTCTTTGTGAAAGCATCAGTCTCTCAGCTCTGCTAAGGAAAAACAAGTAAAAAGAGGCTTTTGACTTGCTTGGAATCCTAAAGGAAAAGAGCACACCCTGGTCACTGGAGCAGGCTCCCAAAAGGAAAGTTCCCCAACGGTAGGGAGAAGCAGGGGCCGTAGTGGGTGGTATTCCTTGCCAAGTGGAAAGTGTTCCCCATAACTCTTCTCTGTTCAAATGCTGGGGCTTGTTTTGTGATTTTTCCAAGTTGAGTATAGCCCAGTCCCCAAAAGTGACAGTTCGTTTGCCCACAGTTACACCCTTTCCCCCTCTGGGTTCCCTATGAGCTGCAGCAGCCTTGTTGCACTGCCACAGTAAAAAAGTGGTTCGTATCACTCTAAGTTTGTTGTTCACATGCAAACAAAAAAAAAAAATAAAGGCTTTCTATTTCTTCAACTGCAAATTTTGCACAATAAATCGAGCCTCACAGGATTGTGATGATTTACTGTGAAAGTGCTTTGCAAACAATCAAGTGTGGAAAAGACCAGCTTTTATCACTGTCCACAATGATCATAACGCCCTGGGCGAGGGAGCCACTCAGCCAGTCCAGACTGGCACGAAGTTCACGCTGTGAGCGTTACCCTCGGCTCATGACAGCCTCACTGCCTGGAATCACCTCCCTATGCTTACATCTGTCAAATCTTGCTCATCATATTGGAACTCTGAGAGCTAATAACATCAATCAAGTATCAAAGGTGATGTCAGCAGGCCTACTTTCAGTTTCAAGATACCAGGAAGGAGCAGCAAAGAGTAGATTTATGGGTTAGGGCAGGGGCAGGTGGAGGAGGGAAGCTGCTGCATCTCTGGATAATGTCCTGGGGGCAAAGAGGAAGCTGAATTACAGTACCACTATACTCATTTCATGAATTAATTTTATGAAAATTAGAAAATACCGATAAAAATAAGAATATAAGTGTTTGCTTTGGTAGCACTTACACTAAAAAATAAGAATATAAAATATATGAAAATGAAAATCACCTGTAAGCCCACCAGCCAGTAATAACTACTTTAAACATTTTTTTATTTGTCCATTCAGATATTTTTCTAAACATATATATATATATGCTTCTTTTTTCATGGTAAAATTTAATGTTTTCAAATAGCTAAATGTTTATTAATATAAATTTTCACATCTCCTTTCCTAATACATGGAGTTGTATTTTTAGGAGATCCTTTTTTGTGGTAAAATGCCTATAACATAAAATTTACCATATTAACTCTTTTTAAGTATACAGTTTATTGCCATTAAGTGCATTCTCATTGTTGTATAACCATTGTTGCATAACTCTAGAACTTTTAATCTTCCTAAACTAAAACTCTGTGCCTATTGGACAGTAACTCTCCACTCCCTCCTCCTCCAGCCCCAGGAAACCACTATTTTACTATTTTGCTAGGAATACAACTCTGTATTCACAGATCGTTTTCCTGTTTTTGAGCACTTTGAATCATTCCAATGTCTCCTGGTTTCCACTGTGATTGTTGAGAAGTGTGCGACCAGTTCATTGCCACTCTTTTGTAGGTAAGCTACACTTTCTCTCTAACCTTTGAGATTATTTCTATCTCTGTGAATTTACCTATTTTAGGTAGCTCATATAAGTGGAATCATGGAAGATTTGTTCTTTTGCGACTGCTTATTTTAGCATATTATTTAGCATAATATCTTCAAGGTTCATCCATATTATAGCATGTGTTCAAATTTTATTAAAGCCGAATAACATTTTTAAGGCTGAATACTATTCCATTACATGTACGGTATATACCACATTTTATATATCCATTCATCCATTGATGGACATCTGGGTTGTTTTTACCCTTTGGCTATTCTGAATAATTCTCTTTTTCGAATCCCTGCTTTCAATTATTTTAGGTATATATCCAGAAGTGGAATTGCTGGTAGCAGATCCTTTTTTTCTAAATTTTTTAATTTTTATTTATTTACTTTTGAGATAGGGTCTTGCTCTGTCACCCAGGCTGGAGTACAATGTCACAATAATAGCTCGCTGAAGCCTCAAACTCTTGGGCTCATGTGATCCTCCCACCTCAGCCTTCTGAGTAGCTGGGTCTATAGGTATGTGCCGCCATACCTGTCTAAACCCATCTTTAAAGTAGTGAGCCACCCTTCTCATCTCTAAGGGTCTGATATGATGCTAATTGGTTTTGTGGTTAATCTTATTGGAAAACTGCTGTTTCTTTTTGCATCTCACATGTTCCCTCTGGGATAATTTATTTTTATCTTCTTGGTACACATCCATTAGACATTTGTTCAGGAGAGAGTTTGTTGGTGGTAAATTCTGTTTTTATTTATTTGAAAATGCCTTTTTTTCACCTGTTTTCTTGAAAAAATAATCTTGCTGGGTATGTAATTCTATGTTTACAGATAGTTTTCCTGTCTTTGAGCACTTTGAATCATTCCAATGTCTTCTGGTTTCTACTGTGGCTATTGAGAAGTGTGCAACCAGTTTAGTTGCTACTCCTTTGTAAATGATCTGTGCTTTCTCTCTAATGTTTGAGATTGTTTCTTTGTCTTCATTGTTCTGCAGTTTCATTGAAATGTATCTAGATGTGGATTTCTATATATTTATCCTTGGCATAAGTTATGGTTCCTATATTTGTGAATTCTTGTCTTTTATCAATTCTTGAAAATTGTCAGCCTTTCTCTTTGAATATTGCCTTGCCCCCATTGTTTTCTCTTCTCTTCTTATGGGATGGCAATTTGACATATGTTAGAACTCCTCATTCTTTGTCTCTTAACTTTTCTATCTGCTTGTCTCTGCTGCATTCTGAAGAATTCCTTCAGATCTATCTTTCAGTATACTAATTCTCTCTTCAGCTATATCTTCTGTTTAACCAACCATTGCAATTTTAATTATAATGGTTACATACATTTAAAAATTTAAATCTGTTGATTATTGTTTCTGCTGATTCTCCTTCATGGTAGTTTTAATACTTATATATTTAGTAATATTTTTATGAGGTTATACTTGGCTGAATTTAATCCAGCAGACTGGATTGAGGATGATTTCTGCCAAGGAGGATTTAATTTGCTTCTGATGTACAGTAGGAGACATTAATAATCTGAGGCCACTTAAATTTTTCAGCAGAAAGAGAATAGCAGAAACAATAATTGAAAAGTTTAAATTTTTAAGAACTTCAGAGTTTGGAATAATCAGATAAAGAATCTAAAGAAGTTATTGTACAATGTTTAAAGAAATAAAAGATGGAATAGAAAAAAGTGAACAAGGAATAAAAGATGATCAAAAACACCCAGATAGATTTAGGAAAAAAAATACAGTATCAAGAAATTTTAAAATGTTTTCATTTCCATTAAGAATGCTGCTACTTTGACAGTCCCAGTTTTATAAAGAATAGGGCTGTCTCAGATTCACTCTCCCATCTCCCTAGGCCCCAGGGCTTATTCTGGGGTTCTCCTCCAACTCTCATATGCCTACCCAGTCCCCAAAGCTCTAGGTTTCTAGTTAGTTAACCTCTCTGTTTACTTACTGTTTACTTTTGTTTTGTATTGTTTTATTTTACTGGTTTCAGGGGGATGCCCTTGGGGGATCATCTTTATTTTCTTGGAAACTCACTAATGAATTTTAAAACATATGTTTTTTGTGCTTTCTATAAGCATTTAGGTGTTCTGCTATGGGAGGTTTTGAAAATATCAAATCTGTCCTACTACTGGAAGAGGATTTTTAAAACAAAAAAAAAAATGTGATTATATCATACATATTGTTTCATAATCTGCTTTTTTCCCCATTTGGTATATGATAAACATCTTCATATCAATAAATGATGTCTACAACATCATCATCTTAATGGCAGCATAGTTTTCTGTTGCATAATTTATTCAATCTTTTTTCTATTATTGGATATTTAGCACTCTGTGTTTTCACTATTATAAACAATATACTTCAGTGAATATCCTTATAACTAAATCTTTACATGTACCATCATCTTCTTTACTGTTTAACTGTTTATAAAATTAATACATGCTCAATGTAAAAAAAATTCAAACAGTAAGGAAAATGAAAATTCTCCATACTTCTTTTTACTGTCACCTCAGTTAATATGATTTGATCTATAATTAGAATCTCTTAATCAAACAACAGATGGGAATTAAGACTAGAATATGCAAGAAGAGAGACCATACCCACCCCATCCCCCTACCCCTACAACAACCAGGGATAGGGAACCAGAGTTCATACTAGGGATGAACTGAAGGTAATTAGAGACAATTAGAAGCAGAGAACTGAAGGAATGAGAGACACCGAAGCAGACTCCAAAAGCCTGGGACAGCTGTGATCAGAGGCACCATGCCTCAGCAAAGGCCAGAGCTCCGAAATCCAGTAATCAGCTCTGCCTGGGTGCATCCCCCTCCCCTCTCTGGAAGCCAAAAATCTTGTTAGGCACTCTCTCTAGGCTCTTCTCCCTGCTCCTCCTCCTTTTAAAGAGGCCTAGTTTATTTTAAGTCTAAAAGTATTATAAGCCTTGACCCTATACCCAAGCCTATGTTTCATAGTGTCTATCCCTGATTGTTAGGGTCCTGTCCCAATCTGAAGACACCCAGCCATGAAAAGGTCTCTAAACACCTTTCCATAACTCCTTTCTGCCTGTTCACCTCAAGTGGAGGTATTGAGCCCAGGGTCTTCTCCATGGAGAGAATCATGAAGGGAGTGGCTGCCCTTTCTGATGGCTCTCAGCTTTCCTGACTAGGTTTTTTTGAGGATCTGCTACCCTTCTTGCTCTCTTAGATTCTGTAAGACAACATATCTCTATACTAATGCCTAGTTCAGGTAGATTCTGTCAACTGGGGGGTGAGAGCCCCTATACCATAAAGGAGCCCAATCTCCTCTTTCCTCCCAATGAGTATGGAGATCCATCTGGGGTGATCAGTGTCTTAAGGAAGGCTCAGAATTTGGGGTTGTTTATTTGTTCATTCAATCCAACAAATATTTATTGGACACATACCATGTACTGACTTTTAAGGAGACTACAGTCTAAGAATTCCTTAAGTAGCTCCAAAATAGCATTAGCTGACCCCATGAGAAGCCATGGTGTGGATCCTGGAGTTGCCGGTTGTTCTAGAAATCACAGTTAACTGCTGGTCACTTCTGTTCCAACCCTGCAGAGCCCATGGACCACTGGACAGAATGAAAAGCACCTTTCCATTGGTGAGCACCTTTTAGTGAGTGCTGATCCACGGGGTTGGATCTCCCCATGAAGGAACGAGTGCCTAGGGCTGGCCCTGTCTACTTCCCACAACCTCCAGCCATGGTCAGGCCTTGGGGAGGCAAAATACAGACACCTCCTGTCTACTCTAAATCCTTAAGGCTGTCCATGCTCCTGAGTTCTCAAAGAGTCCAGAGCAAATGCTTTTTGGAAACATGAATTAATCAGGATATTTGCATGAAGGAGTTGCCACGTGAGGGAGAAGGCAGGAAAGTGCTGAGGTGTTTCCACTGCAGTGTACACAATGTCAGCAACCCTCTGGCTGGCCTAATACATCCAGCCTGAGCACAATGCCCTGGGAGTGGGTCTTGGGCTTGCTAGCTCTGGGAGCTCCTGTTTATAGGGCAGATAAGTCCCTGTCAATGTCAGGGCTTACCTCAGCAAGAGCAGCTACCAGGGACAGGTCAGCAATACAGATAGGGATCTTTCACTGCCCTGGATGCTGCTTCACACCTTCCCCAGCCACCTGCACAACCAGCTGAGTGGTACAGTCTGAAGCCTATGTGAAAATGGACTAATGTGATGGTGCAGAGCCAGGCTCTAAGTCATTTCCATATGGGTTTGGGCAAGGTACTTAAGCTATCAGTGCCTCAGTTTCTTTATCTATAAAAAGGTAATAAAAGTAGCACCTATGCCCTTAGGGTTAATGTGAGAATTAAATAAGCTAATATGTGTGCCTGGTCTATGGCAAGCTTTATAGATTGTTGACTATGGTCTTAGGGCAGCTGTGGGAGAGCTGAGCCCTACAATCGTAAAACTCTCCTCCCCACCCAAGGCCTGGTGGTGGTGGAGCTGGGAATCTGTGGGAAAAGGGAGGGACACAGGCTGGAGGGCTGCTTTGATGTGGGATTCCTAGAAGGTGAGGACTCCTTCCTTGGCACCCTCAATGCCCAGCTACACCTAACCTGGCAGGGCCCCCCCCGCAAGTGCACAGGAAACACTAGGCAGAGAGAAAAGCACTAGCTCTCCCTCTGCCCCACCCCGGGGGCGGGACTGCAGAGGCGCTTCTAGGGGAAGGAAGTTGCTCAGTCACTCGGTGTAGGGGTGTTGACCCGACCCGGGAAGCGGAATCCCTGCCTGGGTCTAGACATTGACCGAGACCCTTTCCCCTTCTCTGCCAAAAACCCCAGCCTCCATCTGTGAGGCTTGTAACTTCTAGAAATCCCTCGTACCTTCCAACCTAATGTCTTCCGTCAAGTTACGGTGAGTGGGGAGGGGAATGTCAATCTGCAGCCTCCGCATTCACATACACGGCGCCTAGTGGACACGTCGGTCCGAGGACGCCTATGCGCCCCCCGAACGGAGGGGCTGGCGGAGGGAGGCTGGGGGTTGTACTGACGGTGCCGAGTCTCTGGGATTGGGGGAGCGGCGAATGTGGGGCACGGCCGCCAGCTAGTAGGCGAGACCCCTCCCACAGGTCCGGTGGCGACTCCGTCCCCCTGGTGTCCCACGAGGAACTGGAGAATCCGAAGTTGGTCGGCCGAGGCGGGTTCGGCGCGGTGTTCCGGGCGCACCATAGGTCGTGGGGGTCCGATGTGGCTGTCAAGATCGTGAACTCGTGAGTGACCCGAGCTGCCATCTGCCGGGGTCTGGCCAAGGAGGTGGAGCCGCTGTGCTATGGGGCCTGAATGGGGAGGGGAGGGATCTTCCCAGGGCCGGGGCGTGACTGCAGCTCTCTCCTGGAGTGCAGGAAGGATATAAACCGGGAGGTGAAGGCCATGGCAGGCCTGCGTTCCAGATACGTGCTGCTCCTTCTGGGGGTCACCGAGAACCTGGAGTGGGACGGCGAGTCCTGGCCGGGTTTGGTGACTGAATTCATGGAGAATGGCTCCCTGGCGGGGCTGCTACAGCCCCAGTGCCCCCAGCCCTGGCCGCTGCGCTGCCGAGTGCTGCAGGAGGTGGTGTGCGGGATGTGTTACCTGCACCATGAAAATCTCCTACACCGGGACCTCAAGCCCTCCAACGTTCTCCTGGACGACGAGCTGCACGTCAAGGTCAGTTCATCCGTGCGCCAGCCCAGCTGGGGGACGAGGCCAGCCCAAGAGCTGCTGCAGTCCCCACCGCCCGCAGACACAGGACCGCAGCCCTGTCTATTGAAACCCTCAGCCTCTCCCGCTGGACACAGGCTGCCCAGGGGTCAAGGCCCAGCCAGGAGTTTTAGCCCCTGCCATACCAGCTGACAGAGGCCCTGACCCACCCGAGTCAGTTCCACAGGCCCACCCCATCAGGCGCTCAGAAGAGCCATGGCTGACCTAGCCCAGGAGACTCAGACCCTGACACCCACAGGAAACCTAAATCTCCCACCCAAGGGCCCCACTGACTCTACCCTTCCTCTGACCTTTCAGACCCCCTTTACAAAACTGGACCTGCACCTTCTTGGGGGAAGGGAGCTCTGGAGACTGCCTGATCCCTCCTTGTCTCCCCTATCTCCCCTTCTTCCCTTCCTTTGCAGCTGGCAGATTTTGGCCTGTCCACATTTCAGGGAGGCTCATGGTCAGGGGCGGGGTCCACGAAGCCAGGGGGCACCCTGGCCTACTTGGCCCCAGAACTGTTAGCTAATGTAAACCGTAAGGCCTCCACAGCCAGTGATGTCTACAGGTAAGGTACTCACTGCAAACACACATCCCAGATTCCTACACCTCTCTGGGCCCTTCTAGGGGTTGGTATATGAGAGACGAATCTTATAAGTGGTTGAGCCAGACCTCAGTTTTGTGTCTCTTGCAGCTTCGGTATGCTAATGTGGGCAGTGCTAGCAGGAAGAGAAGCTGAGGGTAAGACTCCAGGCAGACTCTGGGACTATTAGCCCCAGGTGCTCTCCTCCCAAAAGCCCCCAAGACTTCCCCTTCCTGCTTATCTGCTTAGGCTGCCTGCTCCCTCCTCACCTACCCCTTGGAATATGCTCCCTGCCTCTTTCCATGATGGAGCAGGGATCCCCTTGTACCCTGACTACCTTCTTGTCTCGCCCCTACCCTCACCCCAGTGGTGTCCCAGACATCACTGGTGCATCAAGGACTCTGTGAGGGGCAGAGCCAGTTTCTATTGCCTCAGCTGCCCGAATCCGGGCCTGAAACTCCTGGCTTAGAAGAACTGAAGGAATTAACGCAGCACTGCTTGAGCTGTAAGCCCAAGGACAGGCCCTCCTTCCAGGGTGAGCTGGCCTTTTCCCTGGCAGCTGGGGTAGGCTTGGGTCTGGCAGCAGGCTTTTCCCAGGGAAAGAAGTTCTGCTCACCTGCGACCCACTCTGCTGTCCCTCCAGAATGCCAACTGAAAACCAAAAAAGTCTTCTGTCTAGTGAAGGACAAGATAGATGCCTCTGTCACCACGGTGAGCACACAATAACCCAGCCCCAGGAGCTAGTCAGGGATGGCACAATATGGCTGCCAGGCCATGCAGTGACTACCCACTGACCACTGCTTTTTATGCCTTTACCCTCATCCCCACCCTCCCCACACCATCCCCGAGTTCCCAGGCAACAGATTATGAACCAAAAGACTACTCCCCTGGGTTTACTCTGGCTCTCCCAACTCATGCCCAGCAAGCTCCTCCTATCCCTGCAGGTAAAGAAGTTTCTGTCTGAGCACAGGAGCAGCAGCAGGAGATTATCTGCCCCAGTATCAGGCCAAAGAGGAACAGAAATGGATGGCCTTGAGGGAACCACAGGAAGCCAGTACTCTTACAATGATTTTGCGGTTTCTGAGATGCTAAACAACCTGAATCTGGAGGAGTACTCCAGCTCTGTTCCTGAAAAATGCGCAAGCCTTACTGAGAGAAGCAGGGCACAGGGAGAGCAGATTCAGCATACTAGAATGGCAGGGACATCTGCAGATTCAATGGCCCAACCCGCCCGAACTCCACAGACCTCACCTTTCAGAAACCAGATGCCCAACCCCACCTCGACTGGAACCTTAGGTCCTGGACCCCAAGGGAATCAGGTGAGACACTGGCAGGCCTAGGAGTTACACTAGGACTCCTGTGAATCCTGTCGCCTTGCCAGGGGGAAACTTGGGGCTGAGAGGATGCGCATTGGGAGAACCAGGCTCTAGGACAAGCCTGAGAGCTCTGTGTTGTTTACAGGGAACTGAGAGACATGATATGAACTGGTTCTCCAGGGCCCCGGGGCCATATCCAATAGCAGGTACCCACTCTCCACCCCTATTTTCCCCCTGATCAATCCTTCCACCAGCTTCCTCAAGACCTATATATAGATCCAGAGTAGCTTGCTGGGGGGAGGGGAGAAAGGGCTAGAGGAGATCTAACCCAAACTTCTCATTTCATAAATGAAGAAATTGACACCCACTAGGAGAGGATCCCCCTGAGGCCACACAACAAAGCCTGGATTTGTCCCTGGGTGTTCTAACTTTCCCCAGCACTGGCTCTGTGAGCCCCTAGGTAGTCCAGAGGGCCTCTCAGCAAAAAAAGACCAGGGTTTCAGACATCAGTGGCCACTCCTCTTAAGCCTCTGCAAACCCAATTCTGAAGAGGCAGCCTGAAGGGGAAGGTGCAGGGAGCAACTACTGGTGGGCAGAGACCCCATATTCTGTCCCCCAGCTTTGCCTTTCTGACTGCTAAACTGTCCCACCACCACCATCACCACTATTTCTCTCAAAGGGCCACCGTCTTTTAACTTAGACCACTGCTCTGCGGTGCAGATTGGAAACTACAACCGCTTGACTATGCCACAGAGAACTACCTTGTCCAGTCAGGGCCTGGCACCTTCAGGTGTGGGTAGGGGTTGGCAGCACCCCCAACCCATGGCTTCAAAAGAAGACCCCAAAGAACCTGAAGCCTGGAGTGGGCCACAGGGCCAGTATAATCATAGTGGGAATTAAAGCACCTTCGAAGCTGCCTCTAGAGGTTGAGGAAGAGCACCACGCCTTGTGGCCCCCAACTTCCTTCAAGGAAAGAAGCCTGCGCCCAAACTGACTGTCATCTGCCCCCCAGATCCATAAATGTGAGTCAATAAATGTGACGGAATGTTAGCCAAAGCCTGATGCAGGAGTCTGTGGCTCAGCCAGGGCAGGGAGGGACAAGAATGGGGAACAGGGTGCTGGCAGTGAGGGAGGGGGAGGCACTGTACCTCCGCCAAGGCAGGAAATGGATGATGCTAGGGGCTGGGAGTGGGCAACGGCCTGGCACACAAGGTCAGGGGGGCAGGAAGGAATGCTGGAGGCCAGGCTCCCTAGGCCACTCTCATCTCAGGGCGGGAGCTTCCTCCAGAGCCAGGGACCTCACCCTAAGCTTAAACTCTTGGGGATAGAGGCTGTGGTCCCTTTTCTTCTGGGCTGCTGCCAGGCCCTGGGAAAGGGGGTGAGTCTTCTTGGGAATTCAGCAATTTGCAGACTCTGGCCCTTCTCCTCCCCTGCACAGTGCCCCAGGCTCTTAGAGGCCAGCCCTCATGCTATCACCCCCCTCCACCACAAACTCACATGCACAGTGCTTCCCAGGTGTAGGAGCCCTTTTGAGGGCAGACGGGATCCGGCGCGGTCAGGGCGGGGTGTTCACAGACTGGAGCCCTCTTGATTCTCAGCTGGTGTTCCGGAGTGGAAAGTTATGGCTCTACAGAGCTACACACAGATGTGCCCCCTCCCACGGAGCTAGGGACAAGAGAGCATGGACAGTTAAGATGCTGCCACACCGCTGCCAGCTGGGCGGAGAGGTGAGGGGAATGAGTGCCCCCAACTCTGACTTAGATCCCAGCGCCCATCTGGCATTGGCACTGGGACCCACAGTCTTCCCTACTTTCCCGCAGGGCTTCAGCCCTCCCTCAGACTCCCCACATCCAAACATTCTGCCTCCATGCTGACACTTCCCATTTGGTCCACCCCACCCCACCCCTTCGTGTCTCTCCCACGGCCCACAGCCCCTTCTTTGGGAACGCCAAAGTGGGAGGCGATGGTATTAGGAGAGACAATCTGAGTGGGAGAGGAGGCCAGGGGAGTCTGGCTCCGCACGGGAAGGGGCCGGGCCGGCAGTCCCGTCGAGGAAGTGGGAGGGGGCCAGCGGCGCCGGGAGGGAAGAGTCCGTCTCCCATCTCCTGGGGCTCTGAGCCACTAGCTTAGCGGCGAGCGTCACTCTGCAACCAGTCCCCCACTGGGCTCCGTCCCGGCCCGGCCCACTCTGCTGCGGCAGCATCGGGAGCATCGCAGGCAGTGAGTTTGGGGGATGGGGGAACCCGGGGCTCCTATGCATCAACCCCAAGTCCTGTTCCCCTGACGATGAGGCTTTTGCTAGGGCACCTCCACAGTCTGGGTTGGAGGGAAGAGGAGGGAAGGATTGAGGAGTCCCCCCCCACACACACCAGCTAGGAGCAGGCTGGGAGGCGGCAGGGAATGCCTGGAAGGAGACTGGATTGCCAAGAGGTTGGGGGCGCGGGGTGGAAGTGGCTTGGAGCAACTGATAAAGGCCCAATGGGGCCTCCTGGGTCGCAGGAGGTAATCTGGCACCCGGCCCTCCCCAGCCGTGGGGATCGGGACAGCAGAGACCATGGCCCGCCTCTTCAGCCCCCGGCCGCCCCCCAGCGAAGATCTCTTCTACGAGACCTACTACAGCCTGAGCCAGCAGTACCCGCTGCTGCTACTGCTGCTGGTGATCGTGCTCTGCGCGCTCCTGGCGCTGTTCGCCGTCGCCTGGGCCACCGGCAGGGTGAGCCGCACCTCTGGTGCCGGGCCTCTTCCTGGGCCTCGTCTCTGCTGCGGGGTTGCGGGAGGGTCAGTGCCTGGGGCGCATTTTCCGGATTGGGATTTGTGGAGTCTTCTTTTCCTTGTGTTTTCTTTGCTGGGAGCCGAGAAACAGGCGTTGAGCTTTACTACGAACTGTAGTGACCCAGGGCAAGTCACTCCACCCTTCTGGGCCTTAGTCACGGGGTCTGCCTAGAGGGGTAGCTGAGTCCTGGATCCTTCTCATTTCTCTCTGGGTTCTGACAGACTCTGGGAGCTTCTGTGGTCTACTGGTTCTACAATAAATCCATCACCGGATTTTCCAATTTTCCAGAGGGGAAATTCTACTAAGGCCCTGAGGGAATTCATTTCCTGGTTTTCTCTCCCTTTTAGGGGATGTGGGGCACATGTACCCCACAGAATCCCAGAAGGCGCCCTCCATCTCTCTGTCTCGTTTAGTCCCAAAATAAACCCATTTCCAGTTTCTGTTTGGGGAGGAAGGGGGCCTTCATTTCTGGAAATCGCTTGCTCCAGATTTTCCTTTCACTCCTTGGCGGCAAGGTGGGAAAATCACCGGGCGCGGCCTACCCTTGTTGGTCCACCCCGAAGTCCGGGAAGAGGTGGGGACAAAGGGCGGGGACAGCGGTGACACTGAGGAGCTGAGGCAGGTGGCGAGATCGCAACCCTTGCGGGCGAGGGAGGTGCGAGGCGCTGCGGAGCCGGGCGCCCCCTGCTGCCGGAGTGCTGCTTTGCGCCGCTCTCGAAGCTTCGACCTAGGCCCCGGGGACCAGGAATATCCCGAGCAAACTGGCCAGATTTGGAGACATTCATCCCAAAGTGCCTTCTGTGAGACAGGATCTTTCGCTTGCTTCAGGACCCCAGGCGGGTGCTATGATTCCCGCTTGACAGATGAGAAAACTGAGGCTCAGAACCGTCATGGATTCACAAATAGCCCATACTGGGTGGGAGCCAGGTCTTCTGAGTAGGAGTCCCCGGCAGGCTCAGCCTTCGTGGCCACATGCAAGTAAGAAACTAGGTTGAGCCATATGAGATCGCCAACTCTAGATAAAAACAGGAGGACACAGGCAATTTCGAAAGGTTCAACCTAATAGGAATGGCAAGCGGAAGTGCACTGCCTCATTTTTGTACTTGAGTTTGAGACTTTTCAGACCTGGGCTGAGGGGGCCGCCCGCTCTTCCTCTATCTAGCTCGTTCCTCCTCGCCGTGGGCGAGCTCCTCGAGCTCCCCATCACAGTCCTGGCTCACGCATCCCTTCCCCACAGGAGCTGGCCTCAGACCCCAGCTTCCTGACCACCGTGCTCTGTGCGCTGGGCGGCTTCTTGCTGCTGCTGGGCCTGGCTTCCCGTGAGCAGCGACTGCAGCGCTGGACACGTGCCCTGTCCGGCCTCGTGTGGGCCGCGCTGCTCGCGCTGGGCCACGGCTTCCTGTTCACCGGGGGTGTGGTGAGCGCCTGGGACCAGGTGAGGGGCCAGCAGGCCAAGTGGGGGCGGGATGCCCCCGGCCTGGCCTCGACCCTACACAGGCTGTGAGCAGCCCGATGTAGGCCTTCAGCTTCCCGCGCCCCGCCCAGGTGTCCTTTTTCCTCTTCGTCATCTTCACCGTGTATGCCATGCTGCCCTTGGGCATGCGGGACGCTGTCGTCGCGGGCCTCGCCTCTTCGCTCTCGCACCTGCTGGTCCTCGGGCTGTACCTTGGGCTTCAGCCGGACTCGCGGCCTGCACTGCTACCGCAGGTGAACACAAAGTAGCGCAGGCTGCGCCCAGGGCGGGCTCTGCTGCGCGCTAATAGGTTCCTCTGGGGGGCGAGGGGTTGCCGAGCTGTGACTCCAGGAAACGCTGGACGTGGGATACAGACACAGACCCACAGTGCCCTTGTGGAGCTGTCAGTGCGCTGCTGATACCAGAAGAGGGTTCTGGGCCCACAGGGAGGAGAGTCATGGTTTGCCCGGGGATTAGGGGGGTAGCAACAGATGTGGTGGATGGAACCTTCATGAGAATGTAGAATTTGCGCTTGAATAGTTTTGGGTGCCGACGCGGGGTTGGAGGGTAGGGATAGTAGAGTGGTATTCCAGAGGAAAAAAGAGAAACCTAAGCTCAGGTTTCAAGGTTTCTAGAACTAAGAAGCGGTGTTGGCACCACGGCCCAGTCTGGGGCAGCAAGCGTGAGGAAGGGGAAACGCCCCTATGGGTCCCGCAGTGTGGCACTGCTTGTCCTGCGACACTTAGGTCTCTAACTGTAAAGCCCAGTCCTTTCCAGCTGGTCTTTGAGACCAACTCCAGCTACCCACACAGCCATCCCCAACCCCATCTGGGTCCGGCACCCTCTGAGGCTGGCCCTCACCCGCAGCTGGCAGCAAACGCGGTGCTGTTCCTGTGCGGGAACGTGGTGGGAGCGTACCACAAGGCGTTGATGGAGCGCGCGCTGCGCGCCACGTTCCGGGAGGCACTCAGCTCCCTGCACTCGCGCAGGCGCCTGGACACCGAGAAGAAGCACCAGGTCAGCCCTGCCTAGGAGGCCAGTCGGGACGAGTGCTCGAAGAGAGTTGTTTAGATTACATAATGGGGCTTCTTCACAAGCTGAGTGACTTTGGGCAGGTCCTTTGACCTTCTCTTGCCTCTTTTGTATAAAATGTGGCCCTTGCCCACCTTGGGAGGTTGTGAGGTTCCAACAAACTGAGGCTTATGAAGGCACTTTAGAACATTATGGTATCAAGTGAAGAGCTCTCATTCAGGAGTCGGTACTGGAGTTCAGTCCCGAAAGGTGATCAGTGCAGGATGAGGTGATGGAACCCTGCTGTGCAAACACAGGACCTAGGGGACATCCTGAAGAGCACTCCAGCGTGGGGCAGTGTGGGCTCCTGAGTGGTCTGGGGGCTGGGGATCCTAGCTTTAGGGTGCAGGAGGGTTGGTGCTCATAGTGACCTCCTCCAGGAACACCTGCTCCTGTCCATCCTCCCTGCCTACCTGGCCCGAGAGATGAAGGCAGAGATCATGGCACGGCTGCAGGCTGGACAGGGGTCACGGCCAGAGAGCACCAACAATTTCCACAGCCTCTACGTCAAGAGGCACCAGGGAGTCAGGTATGAGGAAGGATGGCTGGAGGGGAGGGGCCTGTGGGCTGAGACACTGGCCGCACTAACACAGCCTGCTCTGTGCAGTGTGTTGTATGCTGACATCGTCGGCTTCACACGCCTGGCCAGTGGGTGCTCCCCTAAGGAACTGGTACTCATGCTCAATGAGCTCTTTGGCAAGTTCGACCAGATCGCCAAGGTCAGAGGGTA